TATATATATATAAACATATAAAGTATACAAAAGTTTAATATAGAATAATATATACATATCAGAGTTTTTATTATTTCTTGCTTCTCTGTCCTAAATTCTTTATGTATTCATTCCTATATTTTGGCACTTTTGCAACTTCTCTATCTTCATATATGAGTTTTTTTTTTTCCCTTTAATTTTTATGTTATATTGCTTCCATTTCATTTTGGACAATAATAAAGTAATACATTAAGGCAAATCATGGTAAACATCATGCTTTGTGCAATTCTTTAAAAGGGAAACTTACTTGCATATCACCCAACCTCTATGTACTTATAAATCATATATATATATATACATATGTTCTAAGTTAATATATATGGCTCATAATTTTAACATATATGAATAATTCATGATTTCTCAAATGTGCATTTTAGAATAAAAATTGAACTACCCACATTCATCATACAAACCCCCACTTATTTTTAGAAAATTATTAAAAAAATTATTTTATCAAAATTTTAGTTATTCTTCATATATACTTTCTCTATAAATAAACGAATAGATTTCAAAGAAGACTACTCTCAAATTAGAAGAGAAGGAGCGTTCAGAAAACGAGCAATGGCCAGCAACCGCTCCCTCGACAGAGTCGCCGAAGAACTCAAATCGCTTTCACTCCATAGCCGCGGCGTCGGCCGCGGTGGTGGAGGAGAGATTCTAACGGTGGAGAAGGAGGATGAGGCGGCCCGATTTGCTGACGTGAGGAAGAAGGAATTCAAGCGGTTGGAGAGAGTGAGGGGACGGCTGATCAACATCCTCGATGGCCTTGAACTCCACACAGGCGTCTTCTCCGCCGCCGAGCAGCGGAAGATCGTCGATTGCATCTATGATTACCAGGAAAAGGGGCGCAAGGGCCGGCTTAGAGGTATATTCTCCTTTTCTTAGGTTTGTTCTGAAAATTTTCATAAGTAATCTTCCATTGCTTGATTCTAGCTATAGGTCTATTGATTTTTCCATTTTTTGCATGGTAATCTTGTAGATTAGTGGGTTAGCCGCACAAAATTGATTAGGAGGGCATATAAGCTAAACTTTAAACTAAAATAAATTATTGTCGGGTCATCAATTTGTACCTGTAACCTTCACCTGGTGGATGTGCATGTAAGATGAAGCAGAAAATTTGTTTACAGATAACTTCTGGTATGTCCTGTAAAGCATCTGTAATTCATCCATGCGTGCAGATTTATAGGAGATCATATTAGATAATAACATCTGTGTTACTCTTTCTTCTTTCTTTATTAAAAATTTTTTTTTTTTTTTTTTTTTTGGTTTTTCATCTTCTATGCTGCTGCTGATCAACCTTAGGTGCATATGATACTGTACTAAAGCCTTGAGACCGCTTCAGTTTATTATTTTCTTTGTTAGAATGGAGGGGGTGTGGTTATCTTGTAATGTTGAATCATGCACTCTTATCCTTTTACCATGTCTTTTTTTGAGAAACAATCATGCATTTAAAGCAAATGCTGAGGTTAGTTAATTTGGTGACATTTCTGAAATTTGGAAGTTTTATCTTAATAAAAATGTTAATTTTTTTTAATTTGATAATTTTGTTGCATTCATAGAAGCGTTTCTATGCTAAATAAAGCCCCAAAATCTTCAAATGTTAACTTTGTAGCAGAACAATTTCCATGCTTGTAGTCATCTGAATTTAGATAATGTTTGCAGAATGGACTAACAATCATTTTCTTAATCAGAAGGATTGTTTTACCTATTTTTTGCTAAGGTAGAAAAGAAGAAGAAAAAGCTAAAATTGCCCTTTAGCCTCCACCTTTTAATCATCATGGTTTTTGTATACTACAAAATGACATTAAACTTAACAAAATTGTCTTCTTTATGATTTCTTCTGTAAGCTGCCTCTAACTTTTCCTTCCTATATCTGATTGATGACTTAGAATTTACTTATATTTGCAGAGCGCACTTATTCAGAGCCTAGAAAGTGGATGCGAGGTAAAGGGCGTGTCACTATACAGTTTGGTTGTTGTTACAATTATGCAGTGGTATTACTCTAATTTTTTTTTCTTAATCGTTTTGGTTTCTTAATATGTTGATGCACTAAATATCAATTCAAAATGCAGGATAGTAATGGGAATCCCCCTGGTATAGTCCGCGATGAAGAAGTCGATCCTATCCCACCTTTATTGAAACAAATGATCAAAAGGATGGTCGCTTGGCATGTTCTCCCTCCTACATGCATTCCCAATAGTTGCATCGTCAATATTTATGATAAAGATGATTGCATTCCCCCGCACATTGATCATCATGATTTTGTTCGGCCATTTTGCACCGTGTCATTCTTAAGCGAATGCAACATCGTGTTTGGGACTGAGTTGAAGATAATTGGACCTGGAGATTTCTCAGGCCCTGTGACAATTCCTTTGCCTTTGGGGTATTAACACAAACTTCTCAACTTGCATATCATTTTCCAAGTGTACATTGGGAAATAACACAATTAACCATGTAAATATTGTTTTAGTAACATAATTGGCATTGTTTTTATATAATATAGGTCTGTTCTTATTTTGAATGGAAATGGTGCTGATGTTGCTAAGCATTCTGTTCCTGCTGTACCCACAAGAAGGTGACATACATGTATTAAGATTGTAGTTTACATCCTGTGATGGAGAGTTAATTTTTGCTGAAATCATTTAATTTCTGAGCAGGATATCCATAACATTCAGGAAGATGGATGACTCCAAAATCCCGTATAAGTTTGTTCCTGATCCCGACCTGCAAAATCTTCGCCCCTTGCCAAGGCAACAACAGCCCAGCTCTCTTCCCCTGCAGGAAGATCAACTATCCCAAAATGCACAGCCCTCACAAAAGGTTCAGCAAGCGCAAAAGGTTCAGCAAGCACCCAAGGTTCTACGAACTCCTGCTCAATGGAGACCTGTGCAGCTAACTGAAGATGATTTTCCACCGCTGAGCTCCAGCTCAAGAGGGTAAAGCCTTCGCAAGTGATACTTTACCTGCTATGGCGGGGTTCAACGAATACTGGGTTTGTTTAAAAAGATGTTTTTAGTTTATGTGAGTTTTTCTTTTTCTTGTTTTGATTTTTCACTCTATTTCATAGATCAAAGATAGTAAGATGTATTGAAGAAGTTAATACACAGCAAAACGAGTTTATTTCTAATCATCTTAATTCACCCCTATACATTTGAGGATGATGTTTGGTAGAGAGATTTCTCATTCCAGAATTCAGAGCTATGATTTCCATTTGGAACCTGACCAGCTAACTTTGAGATTTGTTTCTCCTTCATTTTTTTAGCCTCTTTCTTTCCCTCATTCAAGGCAACTTGCTATATCAACGATGTTTAATGCTCGAGTTTCAACACTGGTGTTCTTCATTGTTAGAGTGTTGAATTCACCATCATCTATCCTATGTTGTCCACCATTAATGCTCACCATTGCCTACCATTTCTTACCTTCAATTGACACTAACGACCATTGCCTTACATCAATTTCTTGCCTCCTGTTGTTTGCTAACATCAAAGTATCCTGTCTCTTGTGTGGGCTATTTATTTGAGTCCACAAGATGTTTCTCAATGTTAGAGAAAAACCATCTCTTTATTATCGTGAGTATTCTGTCATGCAAAAATTTAGTGTCATCCATGAGAAATAACGTCTCATTCTTTGCTACATGCTTGAGTATTGAGAGAACCTATACTGGCTAATAAGTACAATGTTCACAACAGCACAGCACTATGTTCATACTTTCATCACTTCATGTATTAGTCCTTCACCCAAGGATGTTAAGACCTTTGCTTCCTTATTGCTTAATAGACATAACTCAATTGGTGAATGCCTTTATGGTCTATTCTTTGAAGACTAAATTTATGAGATAGACGAGTCTCAAAATGAGATCATTCAACACCCGCGTGATTATCATCGTCCAAAACATTTGCAAAATGCTTACGGTCGTGCTGGTCCTCAAGATCAACATTGCGTTTTGTTGGGGCTAATCGGATTGAGGATAGTTCTTTGATATCTCTCATCATAATGTTGGAATTAAACCTCCATCGTAAATTGACAAACAACCTTCTCACCACCATCTCTTCAACACAATCAACCCACAAGCCTCCCACAAACAATGCAAACTTACTCATCCTCCCATCCCATTATAGGTTTTTGCCATGAGAGCTCACCAATGGTCCTCACCCTCATTTTGGAACTCGCCCATAAGCTCTCTTCTAGTGGATAATTGTCAACCCTAACTTGCTATAAGAGTTGTTATTATAGTAATAATACTACTAATAGTTATTATTATTATTATTATTATTATTATTATTATGAATATATATAAAGCCAATAATGAATTGTGTCCTTAACTTAAAATCAACTATTCATAAATGATGAGATTTTTAATAGCCCTGAGAGTAAAGTTTAATTTTGATGCGATTTCACTTGCAACAATAAATCCAACAATATTCCAATAATACGTAAGAAATCATGACATAACATATATCCTGTATCAAACCTTGTATTGCAAACATAAAATTGCATAATCCAGTGTAAATGGCTCAGTTATTGTTAAGCATGTATGTATAAATAAATATATATATCTATGTATATGCATGCATTCATAAATACATACATACATATATATATATACATACATACATACATATATATACATACATACATACATATATATACATACATACATATATATACATACATATATATATATATATATACATACATATATATATATATATATACATACATATATATATATATATATATATGATCGGTAAGTTTTGAGCATGAGACCTTTCAGTGCGAGAGAGAATACTAAATCACCGACCTACTATCTCATCAACTCGCAAAAATATTACCTCAGGAGTACTGGAGTACTGATGTATGGTCGGGTGCCACGTGGCGTCACGGTGGGACCATTGCATATGTGACACCCCACCATTGGAGCCTGAGGTAATATTTTTTTCCATCAACTCTATTTGTTTATTTACAAGTGTATTAACAAATGTCTATATTGCTCAATCTTTGGGCATGATTTACATTAAATTTAGGAAGATGGACGATATGGATATATGTTAAGTTGTACATGTCATTATGAGGACGAGAATATGGATTCACTTTGATTGACATGAAATTTAAAATCATTGGATTTACCTTCAAATTTGTGTTATACTATCTTAAAATAAATTAGAAGATTTACATGCATACCACTCAATTCCTATGTATTTACATATAGAATACCTAATTTTGTATTTATACATACATATCACCTTACATTCGCATGAAAATACCTATTTTATTTTTTAAAACTTAAAATTGTGATATTTCTCATTTCATATGAAATATTTGATGGTATAAGTTTAAAAGTGAAATTTAGATGGTTAGATATGTAAATACAATAATACGTAGCTATTGGGTGATATTGGGTGATATGTGTAAAAAAATGTAGAACACGGCACAATATATATATAACTTAAACTTGAATTTTAACATGTATATGTGATCTTATATATGCGTGAAGATATGTATTTCATTTTTTAAAAATTAAAATAATGAGATTTTACATGTAATATTGGGTATCATCAATAAATGTAACCATCAAGCATGAATCCCAATACATTTTGAGCTACAAATATTATGAATTCAAATTCAAGATCATCTCAGGGATTACAACAAATATGTAGTCAATTTGAGTGTCTCGGCTAGATGAACTCAGTGACGCTGAAAGTGACCAATTCTGAGTACAAATTAAAATAGATCAGATATTTGAAAGTTTTGGTGCATCAATTGAAAGATCAATCGATATTAACATTTGACATGTTTATATTCAAATCGAGTGTCTCAATGAGAAGAATTCAATAAGCCAATGATCATTTAATTTCGATATCGTTAATGTACTTAAATGTTAAACAAATACATGTGATCAATAGAATCAATAAGGACCGTTTGATGAATAGTTGTGGGAAAATGGTGAAATTTATCAGAATGCCTCACTTAAAAATTATAAATAAACTCTTATCTTCAAGTCCCGACAATTGTTGTAGGTCAACCTAGCCATAAAACGTTGCCATCAATCACCATAGATTATCGTCGATCACCAGTCATTGTCAGCCACCACTGACTATGACTTTGATCACTAATAACTGTGCGGCTAACTACGACCATTATAACCACCAACTATAAATTTCTTGTAGTTCAATTATGACTGTAGCAGCCAAACTACTATTTAAATATGGACTTGTGATCATCATTTTTTGTAACCTCATCTTCCCTAATTCAGGTGAAAAATGAACCTTTAAATGATTACACAATGTATTATTTTATTTGTGTCGGGCCCCACCCCTTTTTAAATATTTTTCCACTTAAAAAATGTGTTGTCTCCTCCCAAGATTTATTTTATCCATATGTGTTAGATCTTCATGCAATGCTAAGACGTTAAATTATTATTCTATTCTCACAAATCTTCAACCACACAACAAATATGAAAGATGTAGAGGGTATAAACATAAAAAGTAAACTTAAGATGTTAGATATGTAAATATATAGGAATTTGGTGATATGTAAATAAAAAGCTCCCTATTTTTTTTTTACTTGATAAATATAATTTAATTAACTTGTGCCATGTGCTTTGCACGAAAATTGTTGTTAGCTGATTAAAGATATTTCATTAGATAGCTAAAGATTGCATTTAAAAAGGTTATTGATGTAACATCATACTTAGATTTAAAATTAAAAATGAAAATTGTTGTTAATATATGAGAAATAATTTACATATAAAATTACACAATATTTATGTATTTATCACAAATGCCTAAAGTTTAATATTTTTATTTTAACACTTCGGTGCTATAAACTCGTGCATGAAAATTTGTGTGTAATTTAAAAAAAAAAGTAAGTAAAGATGTTATTTTTAATGTGATATTAAATATTTGAGTGAAATGCGTATAAATTTCAAAGTTTAGGTGTTAGATATATAAATAAAAAAAATAATGGGGTTAGTATGTAAATGTCCAATATATATTTTGCCTAATTTAAATCACAATTCCACACAAAAGCACACACACAAATTACTCAGTTTTTATGAATTTATATATCTAACACTTAAATTTTAACTTTTATGTACACATGTTCTATGTAAGAGTGTGTATTTTATTTTTTTTTTTCTAAGTTGAAATGTTAGTATTATGACAGTTTTTTCAAAAAATTGTTATTGAAATTGCATTTATAAAAGAACTGTCACTGAAATCTGCATTTTTTAGTAAATTGTATTTTGACAGCTTTTTCAAAAAACTGTCACTGAAATCTATATTTTTCATCACTCATGACTTAGTTATAGTGACAACTTTTTAACTACGATCTGACTTTTAAGAAAAAAAAAATTGTAATATCTATCATAATTTTTTTAACATATTGTTATTATTTAGCAATCTTTAAATTATTAGGAATTAAAATAAAATGAAAAAATATGAGTTAGATTTTTATTAAAATATTTTGATATTTGAGTAAAAAAAAAAAAAAAAATGTGAATGGCTCTTAATTTTATAAATAAATATGTTTCAGCAGCAATATAAATAAATGTACATAGACGGCCCAGTGTTTAGCCGCCACGCTTTCTCCACCTCAATTCATCTTCACCACAGGGAGTAACCCTAGACGATGCCGGAAACCTCAAATCCCTCAAATCTACACCAATTCCTGAATACCCCTTCACCTCATCCTCCTCCCTCCTCCTTCCATCACTCCCAAACTTCCACCATGGAAGGAACCCTTCAAGATCCCTTCTACGACGAATGGGAATTTCTCCCCGACAACTCCTCCTTCCTCGAACTCGGCCTCGACAAAATCGAAGATCTATTCTCCAACGAAATCATCTACACCGATTATTTCAGAGAAGAACCGAAGCTCATCCAACAAACCCCTGCCGATAATCAAGAAGAAGAGTCGCAGCTCCAGGATATCAGCATCTCTCATGTCTTCTTAAAGATAATCAATCCCAAGATCGAGGAGGAGCTCATAGAGAGCACGAGATCCAGCTCCGAGCCAAAGCAGAGTGTATCGGAGTTTGTTGTGCGGGAGATCGAGGCATCGCCTTCAATCTTGGTGATGGAAGAGAAGGTTAGTTTTGGGGAAATGGGAGGATCAGAAGAGGAGGAGGAGAAGGAGATCTGGGAAGGGATTGGGATTGGATTATGGAGGCGGAGGTTTATGGGTGCTGCTGCTCTGTTTTCCATTGGTGCTGCTGCGGCTGTTACCATATGCGTGGTCGTTCTCGGCGGGCGCGAGGGGAAGCAGCCGGGTCGTCGCCAGCATCGGAGCAATCTTTTTCAGTTCCATTTTCATGATGAACAGAAGGTGAGTCCATGGAAAATGATTATCTGTTTATCTTTTTTTTTTTCCGAATTTTACCATCTGATAGTACCAGCAAGTGTTAGGACAGCAGTTGATCAGAGAGAGAAAAAATTTGCAGTTCTGCGTTCTGAGCTTATTAGGAGGTTATATACGCATTATAAGTCTGTTTGGGGCATGTTATAAGTGCGGGACGGTGTTTTGAAAATGCCTTCGTACCGTTTGGTTTGCGCATTTCGACAACTTATCCGAAACTACGTTTGAATTTTTACACTAAAGGAAGGCGGCTCACGGGTCGACCCCTGCGGCCGGCCCGCGTGCCGCATTTCAAGATAAGCAGCTTATCCTGAAACGCACAAGCTGCCCCAAACGGACCTATATTTCATATAGTCTCTCAGTAACCTACCTATAATATACAAATATATGAAAACAAAAGTGCGAAACTTACCAGAAAGTACAAGTAGATTACAAAGAGGTTACAGAGGGTATAACGTAAATATAGCCCCCCAAGAACTTTTAAATAACCTCTTTGACGTACACAACCCTACATTATGCCATTAGTAGGTACACTAAGCATTTCACATCTTTATAAATAAAGCAGTCTTATCATAAATTCTATTATAAATCATATCCACGATTTTTGTGAAGGAAAATTTACATACAGATCACAAAATTTTTTATGTATTTGCATATCTAACAACACCTAAACTCTTATATTCACATTTATAATCTTTTGGTGCATAAATTTATACATAATAAAAATATATATTTCATTTTAAATGATAAATAAAAATAATATTTTTTGATGTGATATTACAAATTTGATTGATTGATATGCATGTAAATATAAAAGTCTATGTTAGACATGTAAATATATGAATATTTTATGATGCAAATAAATATTGTGGTATTTTATTTCAGAGCATGAGCCGGGTGGTGGAGCAGGCGAGCCGGCTGAACCATGCATTGGCGGCAGCGAGGGGGTCCCCGACAATGATGCGTCCGGCGAAAATATCATTCGGTGGCTGCTACGATGGCCTTTAATTATTCCTGGTTTATGTGGCTCCTCATTAATATAAATGTAATTTTTCTTTTTTTAACCTATTTCTGGAAAAAAAAAATATTATCTTACTGATACATCAGTACTCCAATAAAAATGTACCACGTGATATTATGGTGGGAGCATTACATATGTGGCACCTCCCCATTGGAGTACTGATGCATCAATATTCTTGAGATAATATTTTTTCCTATTTCAGGGGCTTGAATGATTTTGAAATGGGGGAATATATGTATAGAAAATATATATATATTTTGTGTATATATCATACCGATTTGAAAATATATAAGAATAGGGGGGTATAAATGTAAATGCCCCAACTTTAAAATATATTTTTAAAATGAGTATAATATATAAATTTACGTATTTAATATTTAAGCTATGATGTTTATTATAAAATAAATGAGATGTATTTATAGTTTCAGCAAGGTTCTTTTAAAAAAAATAGTTAAAAGAAACTAATAAAACACCACCACACATACTATAATCTAAAGGCTATTATAAGATGGATCAAATGGTTGAAGTGTTTAATTCATGTGTTCACGGTTTTCTTCTGGAGCTTCAATCCACATGCTAATATTTTTCTTATGAAGCTTCCATCTGCTTGCTCATAATTTTCATATGAGGCAAATGAGATCCACAAACCACAAATTTAGCAATCTCCATCTTGACACAAATTTTTGAGAAATGCAATATATATATATATATATTCTTCGAGAGAACTTTCTCCACCTCTTTGAAAAAGCTTTAATGATCAAGATTGAATGCCAACAAAGTTTAAGCAACTATCAAACATGGCTATTGGGAGTGCCATGATTATCACGTCCCCAAAATTATCATGAGTAGTGATCTTGCTCACAATAGTAACACCACGAGCATTAACTTCATGAACGAAGGGGTAATAAATATCAATGTGATTACTTCTCTCATGAAACATATCATCTTTGACGAGACAAATAACACTAAGTATTATCATGCATTGGTGCGGTGATCTTCAATTTTCATTAGTGGGTTGTTTGGTTAGAAGAATTTGTAGTATGTTGTAATTCTTTTATAAGAATTAAAAAAAAAAATGTGTTTGTTATGAAGAACTATAAATATAAATATGAATGAATTTGAAGTTTACATTTTTATTTATTTTGGCTGAATATAGAATTCGACGGATTTGGTATCGCTTGACTGACGCCCTCCCCTCACCCACTGTAATTAGCTGCTACTAGATGCTCCGTTGGCACCTCGCTCCCCCCACCCCCACTCTCCCCCCTCTGTCGTCCGCCGCCTCAACCCTATGGTCAACCATCCACCATTGTCACCTCAATGTTTGCCTGCCATCCGCTGCCGGCCAAACACAATCTGTTGCCCGCCATCCACCGCCAGTCGACACCTTCTGCCGCCACCGTCCACCTCCTTCAGCCGTCGCTATCCACCATCCCCCGCGGTCGGTCATCTGTCTCTGCCATTATCGATGTCAATTGTCAATCACTGCAGCAGAATGTCTCCCGTCAATTAATATTAATACCTTATATATTTTAGAATATATTATTTTCAATCTACTTACAAACAAAAAAAAAAAAAAAAACTTTAAATTTACTAAATACTATAATTTTTAAAATCATATATATTTATCATATAAAATGACCAAATAACTCATAACACCATACTTCCCATTGTGAAGCTAACTTAAAAAGAATTGTAAATATTGAAATGTTGTTATTAAATAGAAATTAATTAACTCGTTTCTTAATCCAAGCAATCACCTTCCATTGGTTCTTTTTAAAGCAAAACAACAGAGCGACATTTGGCCCTGAACCCCAATACGCAATCATATTTCCGCCGTATAGATAACAACCATTGCATTTTATATTTTTAGGCCTTATTATTTTGAATATAAAATAATATAAATCACAAATGCTAATCCCATATTAAATAATAATAAAAAAGGATAATTACACACATACCATCCAAAATATTCCATTTATAACTGCTGACGTAATTTATTTACGCGTGTCACAATCAAATCATTGAGAATTTGATAAGAAAGAGACTACGGGTCGGGGTTTTATCAGGAACTTTAATATTTGAGCGATAATTTGATAATTGGATGAAAGAAAGTGATTGATTTGTAAATATCAATGTCTATGAATTTTACATTTCTAATATATTAAATTTCATATTTACATGCAAAACATTTAAATCTTTAATATTACATAAAAAATTGCACTAAAAAACCATTTATTTATGATACCAAAATATAATAAATGTAAATATCATATTTTAGATGCTATAATTGTAGAAATTGCATGCGTGGCATGCATGTAAATTTCTCAAATAATAATAAAAAAAAATCCTAAAAAAAATCACTTTCATGAGATAGAGAGAGAAGGTCCAAGTTTGCACGAAAGCTCGGCTTTGGACCAAACTGTCTTTGTCGGCTTCATGCTCAATAATTGAAAATGGAATAGTTTGCAAGTTTCAATTTTATTTCTTCCCAATTTGGATAATTAGTTGAAGACTAATTGAATATTGACAGTTAATCTCTGGATAATTTGGATAATTAATAATATAATAATAGCTTGCTCATATACTCAGGGTCTGTTTGGGGCAGCTGCAGCTTATCCAGCTTCTGCTGATAAACAGCTTATCTAGCTAGCTTGGAAGATTAGGGAAAAGACTTGTGAATACATATAGAAAGAATACTATTTATTTATTGCACATACACATCAAAACATTTTTTTAATATGAAAATAGGTATTATTATTTTTTTGCTTATGAACTAATTTATTTCAACTTCCATTGATATGCAAGATAATTAAAATTAGTAAAATTTCAAGATTGATAGGGGTGGAATTGTCCTTTTCTTTTTAATGGTGGGTGACTTATTGCATCAAACACTTCTTTAATAAATGTTTTAATTTTTGCTAAAGTGTTTGGGGGAGGGAGGGTTCAAAATCACATATTTATTCATATTTATTTGTTTATTTTAAATTTCATTAAGGAAAAGCTCAAATATTAGTTAGTTTATTTATTTTCCCCCCATGAATGAAGCTAGCTAGCAACTGCGTGTATTAGGTTAGTTTATTGAAGCGAACAGTTAGGTTTGTAAACATGCCGAGCTTGAGCGAGCTTAGGCTTGACTCGTATTCATAATCGGCTCGTTTTAGAAATTGGCCTGTGAGCAACATGTTTCTGTTCGACTCGACTTAAATATTCTTGTTTGTATTCGGCTCGAAACCACATCACCATGAGCTATTATGAATTAAATTTAGATATAAATATATATATAATAATATTATATAAATAATTAAATAATTTTTTATTTCAAGCTAAAAAGAGTCGAACAAGAGAGAACAATGTTCATATTCAGCTCGTTTATAATAAGAGCTGAAAAAAATTGTTCGTGATCGACTCATTTATCTAACGAACGAACTAAAAACGAACTACTTAACAAGCCGAACAAGATCTGTTCACAAATTACAAGCTTTTTTGATAGCCCTACCAACACCTTTGTAATCTCTTAAACACCAAAGTAGTTTTTCAAAGAATAGATAAGATACTAGCTTACTTTTAAAAGCAACAAAGCTATTTTGATATTTAAAAACTAATGAGTATTTTAAAATAACTAAATATGTTATGATATATCAAATATGTTTTATTTCAAATAAAAAAAGATATATATAACAAAATAAAAAATAATCATACCATATGAAACAATTTATAATAAACCTTCTTAAATTCTTTTGGAAGAGTTTTGTGAAAGCATTGTACATATAGAGATAGCACATGAGAGAAATAACCATAAGCCATGAGGGAATATTATTTATAACTTTTCTTAATTATATTATTCACTTTTTTCCAAACATAAGACATGTTAGACATGTAGATACACAAAAAGTAGTTTTTCAAGGCTTTCACAAAAGTAAAGATTTATATACTTTCCACACAAATTTAAAGGACTTACATACCTAACATCTAAAATTTAATATTACATTTATAACACATTAATGCTATAAGCCTATGCATATATGTGAAACTGCTGAAAAAATAATCCGTTGTTCAAAAAGTGTGGTAACTACTACATGCAACTAAAAAACTGCCACTGCACCTAACTAGTAGGGGTGTAAACGAACCGAACACGAACGAACAAAACTTGTGTTCGTGTTCGGATCGTTTAAAATTTAGTTTGTTTGAAATAAGCTCGTGTTTGTTTCTTAACGAACGAGCCGAACACGAACCGAACACGAGTTGTTCGCGAACGATGAGCCAATTTGACATCTCAAATATTAATATATAAAAATAATATTATATATTAATTATATAACTTATATTATATAAATATATAATATCTATATTAGTATATTACTACTATAGTATATTAATATATTATTATTTTTTAAAATATAATAAATTTTTTATATATAATTATTTTATATTATTTTATATTTCAAACAATAACGATTCGAACACGAACGAACGCATCACTGTTCGTGTTTGGTTCGTCTAACTAACCGAACGAAAAAAATTTGTTCGCGTTTGTCTCGTTTAATTATCGAACGAATCGAACACGAACTCATTGACGAACCGAACACGAACTGTTCGCGAACAACGAGCTTTTTTGACAGCCCTACTAACCAGGACCAATGGAAAAACGCAAAGCGATAGTTTTTTGAAAAAAAAAATAACAAAAATATAATTTTCCCAAATAGACAAAAGTACGATACCTCCGCCCCAAACAGACCCTAAGATACATTTGACTTTTAAAAATGGCAATTTAATAAAGTGATATTTTTGGAGTTGATGTTACAAAAAGTTTGGGTTTTAGATGTAAATAGATAAGAAATGTGTGGTATGCATGCAAAAGCCCCTTGATTTTTTGTTTTATTTTTCTCAAAACAAGTCTACAGATACAATCAAGATAGCATTAGGTGTCCAAGAATACAACAGATCATAACAAAGATTGAGCAGCTAAGCAGAATCATAGTTTTAGAATGAAATTACCAAACACTTTGCAAGTGGAAGAAAAAAACTTTGCAGGTGAGTTTAAAACCTTTATAAAACAGTACTAAAATGAAATTACTAAAAAAAAATAGGAGCAAAAGGGAATTCCAAATCAGAAACCCACTCTTTCACAAGTGACAAAGAAGATGAAGGCAAAAGGAGATGGAGAAGTCATCAGAATATCATTTATTTTATATAAATTTAATTCTATCGGATAGAAGAAAGGCGGATGAGCAGCTGAAGCATTACGGAATGGTGCGTTCGTAGAGAGGAAGAGCTCCAAGTGCCTCCCTCTCCTCCCTCTCCTTCTTCACCTGCAATAGTAAACCTATGTGGTCATCTACAACCATGAAAATCAATGAAAAATGGAAGGGGAATTTACATGCGCATCACACAAATTTTATGTATTTACATATCTCACAACTAAAATTCAACATTTAATAGCATTTGGTGCTTGTTTTCATTTTAAAAAAAATGATAATAGTATTATTGTTTATGTGATATTAAAGATTTTGAGTGTCGTGTGTGTAAATATGAAAGTTCAAGTTTGAGATATATAAATATATAAGAATTGTGTGTTATGTATGTAACAGTGATTAAAAAAAAAAAAAAGGCATTTACATACGACTCCATTCTTATGTATCTACATATCTAACACCTAAAGTTTGCTTTTTTACATTTATGTAACCCATTTTTTCGTATGACAGCAAAAGTACCACCATTTGAACCTTTTAAAAGTGAAATGTAAATATTCTCAAGCATAGGTAAGGTTCTATGTATGTAAAAACTGAAGTTTAAATATGTAATGCAGGCACACTGTCAAAGACTTCAAACTACCCTTAATGCGCGATCATTCCTCTCTTTCATGCATCACCTCAAAAAAAATCTAAAAAGAGAAAAAACATAAATATATAT